TGTGTGTGGTCCTTAGTGTAATGGAAACAGAGGCTTTTTTTTACTTCGTGTATGTGATAACTATGCGTCAAAAATTCTCAACTTCTTTACTTTATCAGTATTATCATAATATAACTGTTGATGTGTTTGTTACCATTACTATTACAATCATCATACCTGCGTCAAATGTCATTATCATTAATATTATTACTAGTAAAGGAAGTATGAAACTAATCAGTATTTGCTATTCCTCGCACTAACGATTATAGTAGACTAAAGGTAATAATAATGGTAATAAAGGTAATAATAATAACGGTAATATTGAATATAAGAATTAGCCAACACTAATTATGTGAATAGAAATAATGATAACATTTATTATGACCTTGCTTTCATTTTGTTCGTTCGCAGGTTACGCTTGCACGTTACGCCATCAATCACAATCCATACGGTTGAAGTGCGAGGAATATACATTGCATGGAAGTCGTTAGCCCGTGAGTCTGTACATTAATTATTCGCACGACCATTCGAGGGAGAAGGTTAAGAAGGAAGGGGGAAAGAAAGGAGAATTACGGGAGAAAGGGGGAGAGGGAGAAAAGGAAGGAAAGGGGGGTTAAAGAGGAAGAGGAGATAGGGAGGGGAAGTGGAGTGGACTTCAAGAGAAATTGGGGGAGCCCAGAGAGGAAAGGGGGAGATGGAGGGAGGGAAGGGGTAAATTGAGGAGGGAAAGGGGAGGGGACAGATATAGGGTTTAAAAGGGGAGAGGAGGAGTGAATTTAAGGAAGATTTGGGTTTAAGAAGCGTAAAGGGGAAAGGAAGGGAGGGGGCGAGGAGTAGGTGGTGATAGAGAAAGGAGAGAAGTACATTTTTTTCCGCGAATTGGTTGCACTAAAAGACGGTAAATAAATCAATAAAACCAAAGCGACCCATGACTCAAACTGGCAAAATCATCATGTGACTGAGAGATAATACAATAATAGATACGAGTGCGAAACAACAAGTAGCTCCAATCGATCACAATATAGATCATAATGTATCACTCCTGGAACAAGAAATTAACTCTGTGACAGGTAAAAAAGTTTAAAGTGATTGATAGTGTTGAAAAATTGCTAAAAT